AGTATCAGTCTTAACACCTCTTAATGGCAAGCTTTCTTTTCTTCCCATAAAGCAACCTCAATCCAAAGTACTAACTATCGTTGCAAACAAAATCTCAAGCTAGAGTTGATTTTCCCAGTAAGAATTGGCTTTGGAAGGTGAAAGATTGTTGTGTTGTCTCTTTCAATCTAAACCATTAGAGAAAAGACCAATAGCAAAGGATAATTCTTTCTTAAATGGAATATTGAACTTAAATACACTCTTCTTCATCCAGGCCATACATTATGGTTTCCTGTAAGTTGCCCTGTGATCCTTAACTTTTCAGAGCCTCAGAGTTCCGCTACGTTAAACAGGAGTGTGGACCAGGTGGTCTCTAAAGTTCCTTTTAAAAATAAATTCTTTAATTACATATCTTACATGTGTAATCCTCATCATGTTCTGTCTCACTGAAGTCATCCTATTACATTTCCTTGGAAAGTCAATGGAAGTGTCTATTTTGGAAGAGATTCACAAACATGAAGCTCTCCTTCATGGAAGTAAAATAACTTGAAAAGATTATCATTTCACTAACAACAGGCAAATTACTCCTGCTATCTCTTCAGAGTAGTAAAATAAATGAATAAAAATAAATGTCTTTCTGTCAGGTGAATATGCAAATAACTAGGGAGGCAGCAACCCCAAAAGCCAGGTCATTTTTACTAAAAGAACACTTAAGTAGTAGACATTACTACTTGTCTGAAAAGAAAAGAAAAAATGTAGGGTACCTGGAGACCTGGGGTACTGGGGGGATGGGATATAATGTTCAGGATTGGCACTATATTATGAGATATATTCTTCATAATGTTTTATTGGCCTATTTTGCAACCAAGGCCTGGACTCTTTACAATTAAAGAATCTTGCTCTGCACAATGAAACTCCCTTTTTTTTTTCTATTTACCTAATGTACTCAACTTTCCATAAACAGCTGGTATGTGGCGCAATTATCAATGAGCCCTTTCGGAGCACACAGAGCAATAGCTGCTCAGGCAATAAGACAGTTAGTAATGTTCTTATCTGGAAAAAGTAAAACTTAGCCATGCTGTTGGTCTCCCCATCCTCTAATTTTTTTTTAATTTTACTGATCCAGCATAAAATCTAAATGCCTGGGATACTCTCCCATAGAAGTATGAAAGTAGCGATTCATGTGTAAAGATTAATGATATTTACCAAGAGTTATACAGACCATAGAGTTAGGCTAACTTGAAGTGGCAAAGAAGATAACAGTCTCCACAGACAAATGATGAAAAGAGAATATAGAGCCTGAAAGTTGAATGTGAACCTAAATACCTAGAAGTTCCTCCATCCGTTAGATTTGTAACAAAAATTAATATGAATGGAATAAATAATTCTACTGGAATAGTGGACACATGGCATATACCAGAGTTAGCAAAATGGCAAAATTCATACAGCTTCAAAGATGGACTCCAAGAGCTAAGACATCTAATGACATTGAAAGAAAATATGAAGTTTCCACAGCCACCAGAAGGACAAACATATAGGAATTAATTTGTTTGGATCTCAAACTTGTCTTAAATCAACAACCTTCCACTCAAGTGCTGTCTTGATTAAACATCACAATGCAAAATACTCACACTTTAAGTAAAAGAACTACAGCTGGTAGACGTGACCCAGAAATTTCTAAGAATATAGTTAATACATGCAAACCATTATGTTTTCAGAGAACAGGAAGAAAAATGCAGCACAATTTTTTTTCTCTTGTTAAGCACTATCATGTAAGCATAAACCTGGAGTATTCATAATAGAATTCAGGTTTACAAGAAGAAAGCAAGGCGAGAAATGTCAGATAGCCATGGAAGCAGGCGTATTTCTGAAAACTAAAAATCTCAAGAAGGAAAAACAGAAATGGTATGCTTTATTCATCTTGCTTAGCAAGACAGCTGTAGTTTAAATTGTTAAAAGGCCCAAATGGTGTTAATTTTTGAAGCAATGTGGTTGCTGGCAACTAGCAGTATCAGCAATATATTCAGGATTGTTTTTATGTCTGCATTTACAAGTCAAGAGGGGAGGTTGATGAATTTCCATTAAAAGCCATTCCTGCATTACATGTAACAGACATGGTAAATATCTGTTTACGGTGTTTGTTTAATAAACCATCCATTTAAGTGAAATCAACAAAAAGGAAATATATAGACATATGTGATTTGGAGATTAAAGTTAATTGTAAAATGTAAACAAAATATGGAAAGCGTCCTCAAAAAAATATTTTTTTAATTATGTACCCAACAGGTTCCCTGGTTCCCTCACTTGCCTCTGTCCTGTTGGCCATGCCCTTGTGTTCAAGGTGGCCCTTGATGGCAGCTCAGGACCAGAGGATTAGTGGCAAGTTATCTACCTAACTCCACATTAGCATCTCACTCCCACTCCTGGACTAGTCCATGTGGAGCCCTCTCTTCTCTCTTTCACCTCTCCTCCTTAAAACCCAGCTCACTATTCACGGCCTCCATTTTAAAAAAAATTAAAAACCTGGCTTGCAGACATCTCCCTCTAATTCTGCACACCCACAGCATTCATGCGCTCAACAGGATGGAGCACTAAACAAACATCAGATGCCTGATACAAGTATTTTCTCTAGGATTGGATCAGGGATAATCTGGGATAACCAAGAACATAAATATCATCCATCACCTATTTTGGAAAAATTACAGTCAGTAATTCCATTATCCTAAATATAAACATTTCTGCAGAAACAGAGACTCACTACGAGAATTTACCCTTCACTCAAAACAAACCATTACCTGTGCTTAACGGACCAGAGCAGTTAAAACGCCACCAAGTAGCAGGACCAATCTGAACATTTGGTCCGGAAATTCTATTTGACTGCAGAGCAAAGAGCACACATCACTGGCTCACCTAATCTCATTAAACGCTCCCAAGGCAGTAAATTCTGTGTCTCACAGCAAAGCCGCTGAATTCCCATCCAGAAGTTGTTGCCTATCCAATTATTTCCAGTTGTCCCTAAAATTTTTGATTATTAGAGTATGCCTTTCAGGGCTGGTTGACAAAATGATGAAATGGCCTTTCAAACCCAAAGAAGGCAGGGCGAATGCTTTTCCTGCCTCTCACTTTGCCCTCCACCACCCAGTGGATTTAATTGTTCTGGATTGTTTGTTTCATGTCCTCTCTCTTCTTTGATGTATTGTGGTGTGAACTTTTCCCTCTCAGGTTGGGTAAGAACATGGCAGTAGCCAGAGGTGACAAGGCAGAATTGTTTTAAGGCTGTAGAAGTGAGACAATGTCTGCAGGCATTGAGAAAAAAGCCCGTAGAAAGTTAACGTTTGAAAACCCAACCTTCCCCATCAAGGCCTGAAGGAAGCTGTCTTCTCTCATTGTCCTATCACCTACCTCCTATACTCTTCAACACACTGCAATTTGGCTTTTTTCCCTCCATTCTTAAATCATTTAATATTTCATTTTTAAGACCTGAGTCTTTTTTAATGAAAGGGATATCCTGAGCTTTGAAAAGGACTTTTTTAAAAATTATAATTAAAGGAATATTGAGAAATACTTTCTCTAACTTCATTCTTGAAGGCACATATATCATTTATATAGATTATACAGTAGTGCTTTCCAGTCACTGAGGCAGGACTGGATAAGGTATTGGCCATGAGCAATTCCATACTTAACTAACTATATGTGCAGTTGAGAATGACAAGGAAAGAGGACTGGCATTCCAGAAGCCACAAAAATATAAGGTTACACACCACTGAAGGGCTATTTCCTGGAGAGAACGGCAGGTCCTTACAGAAGGAAATATAAACAAGGCCTGGGCCAACAAGGACGTCTCCTCAATCTCACCACCACGGATTGTTTGCCTGTGATGTACCTAGCAGCGGACTAAATGATGTGAGTGAAAAGGAGGATGAGGGAGACTCTGTCTTCAGGACTTGTCTCGGGCAGCTTGGGCTGCTGTAGCAAATTACTGCAGACCGGGTGCCTCAAACAACAAACACTTATTTCTCACAGGTCTGGAGGCTGGGAAACCCACCATCAAGGTGTTGGCAGACCTGGTGTCTGGTGAGAAGCCACCTCCTGGCTGTGATGGCTGTTTTCTCCTTGCATCCTCATATGGCAGAGAGCAGAGAAGCAAGCTCTCTCTGGATTCTTCTAAGAGCACTAACTCCATTCATGAGGGCTCCACCCTCACGACCTCATCTAATCCTCAACACGTCCCAAAGGCCCCACCTTCTAAAACCATCACATTGCGGAGTAGAGTTTCAACATATGAATTTAGGGGTGACACAAACACTTCAGTCCATAAAAGGAGCCGACAATTAGTGAGAAAGATACTTTAGACCCTAAGGTTACAATCCATGAGATTAGTGCCATGGCAGCAAACTACCAACTACACTGGGAGCACAGAAGAGCGAGAGATGAATTCTGCTTAGAGAAGGAACTCAGAAAAAGTCCCATGGAGGAAATGACACTTCAACTAGATATTAAAGAAAGAGCAGGAGTTGACTAAGAAGATAATGGGGGAGGGAATTCTTCAGACAAAAGAATGACTCTCTAGAAATCTCTCTCTCTCTCTAATTGCTTGGGATGAATAAAACCAACCTACCCATTTTAATCAGAGCTAAACTAGACTTTTAATTATTGTTGAGGTTTTTCCAAAAGTTATTTGTTTTCAGCTTATTATCTACTCATAGCATCTACAAAAGTGACCTACTGAATTTGCAGAGGCAGCAGAATTTCTATAACAGTAATAATACTAGGATGACACTTAATAGCATAGAGTACCCCTATGGCCAACAGCCCATGTGCATTCTCCAAGCCCACTAAAGTCGACGGGAAGCTTCATTTGCTGCCCCAACCTCACATTTCATTAAGCACTTTTTTATTTTAATATAAATTGATAAAATTCAAGAGCTATCCATCTACTTTTAAACTAAACCATTTTCAGTAAAACACTGAATACTTTATACAAACAACAAGAGTTTCATGAGATGATCTGTTATTCTTACCTCCATGGGAAAAGCTTTGAAATTAACCGTGTGCTCAGAACCACGCTGGTTTTCTCTTCCCCAATGAAATCTAACTTCATACAGTTCAAATTCATGCCCTTGAGGCAGTGGACCTCCCAATAGAACTGAAAAAAGAAAACAAATTCTATTTAATTACATCTCAAAAATATTCATCAGCACAACATTATAAACTTTGGGGAAGCTTTTTGCCAAAAAGCTCTCGTGAGCTCTGTAGATTAAATTCATGTAGCCAAAATGAGAAATATAACACAACTGTGAGATGGATTTACACTATCTTGGTTTGGCTGAAATTCTTGCACTGGCCATTCAGATACAACAGGAGTTCAAAAACTCTGAAATACTTGGTAATGATATGTACATGTTAACCTCTTGTGTGTTTCAGGTATAGGAGTAGACAAAGAATACAAATGCAGTAGCTATGCTCCCTGTACTGATCAGGTGACAGGAATGTGGTTGAGTCTCAGACTGACCAATAATTTGCTATAGACCTATGAATAAATTAAACCCTGTTTACAGATCATCCATTTGAACCAGCAGGCTTTCAATTTATGGAATAGGTGTAAGCTAACAAAATTATCCATGAAGAGAATTATTATTAAGCCACTCTGATTTTTCAACAATGAAATCACACTTAAAAAGCAATTTACCATTCAGTGGCACATACAATGCAAACAAAATAAAATTGTGACAAAATATTAACAATACTTAAAATATTAACATAAGTTCTACAGGGCCCTGTCTCTATTTCTCATTTCCAGATATGACCCAGAACTTTTTTTTATGTCCCAGACAAGGGTATTCTAAAGGATGATAAAAAATACATTTGTATAAGAGCCTGTCTTGAAGCAACAAAGTATTTTCTCTAGTTAAACATTCCCTGATATCACCTGTAAAAACTTGAAATAAAGTTTACTATAAATAAACTTCAACACAAAGGTTGTTTGTATTTTTCCTATAAAAATTGTTAATTCTAAATGGTATCAGCTAAGAATTAGAGGTTATTTTCAGTCAAGGAGCTGACAAAATTCACCCCCATTCCCCAGAAGTGGTCTCTTTGAAAGACACTTGGGTGCCGTTGTGGAAGAAGGAACAGCACCAAAGCTGCTCTCCTGAGGAAGAGTTTCATTCTCCATCCTTATTCTAAGACTCAAAGGAGAAGAAAGGGAATTGGAGCAGTGATATTTATTTGTTTGCTTGGTTCTTCATCTAATAACTTGTTCCAAAAAGAATTTACGGCTGCTTACATCAAGATTCATACAATACACCCCGAAAGCAACAATTAGAAAGAAGAGCAAAGGGAAAACAGAGAGAAAGGCAGAAAACAGATGGAGAAGTGAGACACTCGCACAAAATGAGTGTGATGCAGTCCTTGCTAAAAGTGCCCTATAAATTTGGTTTTAAGCTTTCTACCAGCTCAAATGAAGACGAAAAAGAACATCAGTAGCAGAAAGCAATTTTCATTTTTCAAGTGCCTCACGTCGAGGGGGAGAGGGGGATGAGACGCATGGCCCCTAGGATAATATTATCTCACACGATTTTAACATTCCTCCTCATGCTTGGTCTTATTTAAGTCTCACAACAAATCTGCTGAGGTCAGTGTTATCATCCCCATCGACAGGGTTCTGAGAAGAGTGTGGCTGAGAGGGGTAAACATGACCTCTCCTAGTCACCCAGCGAGCAAGCTCCAGGAGCCTGGAAATCCAAACTTCTGACCCACATCCCAGGGGGAGACAGGGACAAGGAAACCCAAATTTCAGTATCTGTGAGCATGAACTAAAAAACAGTGAGTTCTTGAAGCCTCGATTTCTAAACCACAGTCCCTCCTACACCTCATCTTCTTTCCCAGGACAATAAAAAGAATTTTTTTTAATTCATGGGTCAAAAAGAGTTACAGATATCCAGAACTGCAGTGCAGGCTCATTGCATCTTCAATAACCATCCATGCTGTGGACTGAAGAAGGTATGATTTATTCCAACCAGAGTATCACAGTTTCTGAATAACCTCAAAACTTGTGTCTTTCCCTTGGCTGTCCAAATATGGTCTTCAGAAAAACCAGGAAAGAAGCCTAGTCTACCCACCATGTACCCCACCTCCGCAGTCTGCATCATCAGAACCAGAAAACACACCCCTCACACGTGCAGTGTAACCTGACCCGAGGTTCTCTAACACCCTACTTTTAAAAGAAGGCAAAAAATTGTCTTGGAGGAGGCTTAGCTTCACATTGCTAAGGAAAAAGAAAGAAGTACTGTGAAATAAAGCACATGTGAAATGGGAAAGAGGATTGGAAAAAAACCTTTCCCCAAAACCTCTTCATCATGTACATTCAGTACACACACATACACACAGTGTTTCTGAAACTATACTGAGAGTCCACCGGTACTTTCTTATAGAAATGGATGATACAATTGATATTGATAGCGATTTCAGGAGACCAAAAAGAGATCCATAATTCAAAAATATACCCCCGACCTGATCCACGCCCAATATTTCTTTAACAGGAATGAAGCCTTTAGTTTAAAACTAGGGGATTGAGCTTATATTTCAAATGTCCTGGAAATTCAAACTGCACAGATCTATGTTTGATAGAGAGGCCCATGGGGGCCCACAGGGGTCCATTTACTCATCCTTTCAACAAACACTTTTTGATCCCCTACACTGTACCAGGCACTGTATTAAGTGCTTAAGATACAATGATTTTGACAAAACAGACAAAATTCCCTGGTCTCACAGATCTTACATTCTATTAGGATGAAATGTAAATTCATATATTTATGAAGATCAAATTTCTGCTGAGTGATATTTGGTCACTACGTGGCAGGTTTGTTAGCTGTGATATCATCACGTTCAATACAATTACAACGAAACAAGATCCTCATGTATCTCACATTCTATCAGGTTGAAAAGGAGCACAAAGAAGGGAAGCATTTTGCCCAGGCCTGGTCCCCAGAGACAGGTGACAAAGAGGCAGCTTTCAGCCGGGAATTAAACTCTGGGAGCCTTTCAGTTCTGCTGCAGATGAATAATCCAAAGTTAAGCCACACTAAAATCACACGGCTGTGCAAAGCCATAAAACATGACAAAATACTGAATTCAGAATTTTATGAAGTGCCAGGTAAGAGCATTACCTGTTCATCCCCCAAGAATGATTGTGTTTATAGACTAAAAATAAATGGTAGCTCTGTTTTACCCATTTGGCAACGTCCTCTTAAGGCATTATTCTCCCTTTTTACAGATTTTTTTTAAATAAGGAAACCAGTCATACCAAAATGGGTACATATTTCCTACATTTATGAATATCGAATTTTGCTGAGTGATATTTTGTCACTGGATGGCAGGTTTACTAGTTGTGAGGTCATTATGTTCAATAAGATTGCAATGAAACATGAAACTCTTACCAATGACATGCTGCACTTCCTCAGAATAAGAAACTTGTGAAAAGAATATAAAATAAACTGATGCCATTGCTACTGCCTCCACTTTCTTTAATGCTCTCTAACAGGCATGGCCATTATGCTTACGAGACATAAAAAGAGCTCCTTGCGGAAGCTTCTGCAAAATTTGAAAACCCCATGAAGGCATGATATATATACACTTACCTAAATCTATCTAAACTTCTATAATCCTTTGCAGAAAACACATTTGCTAGAAGTTCAAAGGCTGTTGATCAAGGTTTATTCCCCCTCATTTCATTTGAGTTTGACACACACATTTTGAGATGGACTTCATGCCCAGCACTGTGCTGACCACTGAGTACATAAAAAGAAGGACATAACTTGTCTCAATGCTGGCAAGGCACTCTCAGGGCTTAAGGAACTAAACTTAAGTGTTTAAATAGATTGCACCGGAAGTAGTAAGGGAAGGTGCACAAGGCACCAGGAAGGCACTCAGCAAAGGCCAAGCCAAAAGCAAGGGGGCATCAGAAAGCCAGGCAAGACTTTTGGAGGAGATGATAGCTAAGCAGAATCTTGAAGAATAAACTAAGAGAAGAAGAAAGTACATTCCAAGAAGAGAGAAGAGGCTGAGAAAGGCTCAGAAATACGAAACAGACTGAGTGTGTTCCAAGAGAATAAAGTTAGAGGTTACCATTGGCCAAAGGCAGGCTTCAAGACGTGAGCTTCAGGAGGGCACCTACAGCCTATGCTTAGGGGCTAGCGTTTATTGTGGAAGGAATCATTGATAGATTTTAAGTTGGGGATTAATATTTTTGCATTTTATTTTTTTTAATATCTAATTTGCCCTCATTCTTTCTGTTTTTGCTGGGAAAGCTTCACCCTGAGCTAACATCTATTGCTAATCTTTCTCTCTTTTTTTTTTTCCCCTCCCCAAAGCCCCAGTACATAGTTGTATATCCTAGTTGTAAGTCCTTCTAGTTCTCGTACGTGAGCCGCTGCCACATCATGACTACTGACAGATGAGTGGTGTGGTTCTGCACCCAGGAACCAAACCCAGGCCGCCTATGCGGAGCATACCAAACTTTAACCACTAGGCCATCAGGGCTGGCTCTGCATTTTGAAACATTACCCCCATGTCTGCAAAGAGCAAGCGTAACCGGTTAGACAGCTGCTGTCATAGCCCAGGCAGAGACAGCAAGGCCAGAAGACAGAGCCCACTAGAGCCACGTCTCCAACGTGGAGGGAAGCCGACGCTAGGGGGCCCCCTAGCGTGTCCCCAAGAGGATCCAAAGGCCCAAACAGTTCATTCTCGTTAGGTTTAAAGACCTTATAACCTCAGTCTAACTTTTAAAGAATCCCAAATGCACTCATAAAACATTCCCCAAATAGTATTAATTAGTTCTTTTTTAACATTCAAAGTCTTAAAAGCAAACATCAATACCTTTCACTGTCTTAGCTTTTAACTTACAGCTTTATTTCATAATAAAGAATAAATATCATCAGCTCTTAAGGGCAGAAATGCCATCAACAGTATGGAGAGAAGGCCAGTGAAGCTGGGTCTACACAAGCAAAGTGAAGCAGATTAAGGCAACCTTCCAGGTAATTCAAGTCCCCCAAAGTTAGCTAATAATAAATACAATCATACAGAAATTCAACCCTGACATTTCATATAAATAAACAATTTAGAGCCTCTTCTTAAGTGAAAATAATT